GAGGAAAGAAATAAAAATAAAAAATCCTTACGAGTAGGAATACGGGTCGGTTCAAATGTCACGGGAATCGTGATTTTGGGGTCGTTGTTCTGGATTTTTGGGAATTGCAAATAATATGGGTCTTGTCAGGGAACTAAAGCTTGTATGCACAATAAGGTGAGGGTTTTACATCTGCCCGGGATGATAAAGACTGTGTTACTGACCCTAAGTCAGTCGTAAATATAATTTTGGGGGGTGAAAGGGTTTAAAGCTAATGTCAAAGCTTTTTTCAGCCAAAATTAAAGTGCTAAATATAATCAGGGGTGAAATGGTTATCTTTTTACTTTTCCATCTAGATTCCTTCTGCATGCGTTTTTGGCCTGTCTTTATTTCTATGCTCCTGTGGGTTCCAGTGCAAAGACACTCTAGTTATAATGTTCTCAGGTTTGCCCAAAGTGTGTCCTGTCCAACACTATCATCTTTCCTTCATCTCCTGATTCAATGAAACCTGTTTAGCTCTCTGCCAAAGCTCAACATAAGTGAGTCTATCATACATTTTCTTATTTGTGTAGTTCTTTACTTAATTAGTATTGGAAAGTTCTCAACAGGCACAGATTCCATTCTGGCAAAGACATCAAACAGTGCTAACCAAGTGGTTTAACAGGCTACCAAAATACTCTCCCATCTGCCAAAGCAACTGGATCTTTCTATTGTCTTCTTCACTTTTACCGGGTTGCAGCCCTGTATCGTGGTTTAAAATATTTGTTTTGTGCCTCTCGTGTGATTTGAGTGACAGTTTTCTGGATCTTCTGGCCGTATTCAGCTACTCCATCTATCCATTTTTTCATGGGTCTTCCTCTGGCCTTTCTTCCCGATGTTCTACTGTAAAAGGCCTTATAGGCAATCTGATCCAGTTGCATTCTTCACCAAAATACTCTACCATCTGCCAAACCAACTGGATGCATGCCTGAATGCCTGCAGCAACCTTTTCTTTTGTAATAAATGTGCAATAGGTTTGCTTACTTCTGCCACACCTGCTTGTATACCTTTCATATGTTCAATAAAGTCACTGCAATGGGTTTAAATTGATCTTGCCTCATACAACACACAAACACTGCACCAGTTTTATTCTCTTGACATCATTCAGCTCAGGTACTATCACACCTACTTACTCTTGACATTGTTCAGCTCAGGTACTATCACACCTACTTACT